GTTCAAGAAAGTGGAAGATTCTTTTGTAGATTCGCTCACTGTATGCTCGGCTCTCACAGCTGCGAAGAGTACCATAGCCTGCTCTGTACGTTGAGTCTGGCTGTTATTAACTTGGTTCTTCACGTAGAAAGAAATATATTACCAATATACAGTAATAAGTATAAATTATTATAAATAGTAAGTTAATTAAGAAAGAGAAGTTTGTAATATCTAAGTTATTTTTTAAAGACAAAGTATTTAAAATAAAAAGAAAAAAGAAATTCAATGAAGATAGTTTTATTATTTAAAATATAAGAAATATTATAAGTTAGATTAGTTAAAAATATCTAACCAATATGTTTAATAAGTAGTATAATTTTAAAGTTTGTAGTTAAATAATTAAAATTATCAATAATTAATTTAAAATATAAGAAAATATTAGTAGAAAATCAAAAATTATTTTGTAATTGTTAAATTCAAATATGAGTAGATGTGTCTAATAGGTCATGATTATTAAATCATTTAAAAAGATTAAGAATATAGTGTTGTAATTAAATGTTTCAGATGTGTTTGATATTGTAAATTTGAAAATATAAGAAAGTATTAGAAGATATTATATAGTAAAATTTAACTTTAAATTTAATAAGACTAATGTGTTAAATGAAGATTTTATTGATTTACTATAATATTTTGAAGTTAGTATTTAAGAGTCACTATATTAATAATATAATAAGCATATAAGTCAATAATATGTTTAATTTTAGTAATTTGGATAAGTTGAAAAGATTTAAAAATAAGTAATTTTATTTGTTTAAATTGTTTATTGTTCAAATAAACCAATAATCTAAAAATTTAAAAAGTAGATTAGTAAAAATATTTTTATATTTTGTTTTATTTAAATAGATATAAATAATATTTGTATAAAAAAAAAATGTAATAATTAATATGTTTGTTTGTTTTATTATAATATTTTTGTAAATTATTAGGTTTATAAAATTTAATTTAGTAAGTATAATTTTTTTGAAATAGTGAATAAATTTTTATCTGAATTGGTATTTAAATACATTAAAAATTTTAATTTCATTTATAAGTTTAGTGAATTGATGATTATATAATAAAAAGAATTGTTTAAAACACTGTTTAAAATGATTAAATAAATTTTTAAAAGATGAAATATTAAATTTCTATAAAAGGAATATTTTAGAATATTAAATTTAAAATATATATTAAATTTGTTATTATAACTGATTATAAGATATTTGAAATATATATACAAATAAATAATATAATATTAATAAAATATTTGTTTTGTTTTTTAGTTAAAAATCTGTCTTTAAAAAATAACATTTTTATTCAAATTATATAAACACAGATGTTTACAAAAACTTTTTTATATTAGAAGTTACAATTAACTATATGTACATTTTTGATACCTAATTTAAGTAATTCACCTATACATTACTATATAAATTCTATACTAGATACTATAATTGCAAGCTAACTACAGATCTTGTCTATTTAACTTTCTGTATATGCAATTTATCTTATATTATAAGAACATTTTTAAGACTAAACTTATTCAAAATACTTAATAAATATCTATATCTTTAGAATTATTTTATCCTTAACAAAAATCTAAATGAGACCAAAGACTTTCTCATAGTAGAGTCTAAACCAAAGTAAATGATAAATATAACAAATCTAACTCTAGTCAAAAGTTTTTAAATAACCTAATACAATCGACCCCCGTTTATATCAACCTCGTTAATATTAACCTAAACCACAAATAAAATTTTTATAAATTTTTATTTATCAAAATTCTCTCATATATATCAACTTTAATATAATCTCTCGTTAATATCACTATCAACATAATTTAAAACCAATCCAAATGGGTTGATATAAACGAGGGTAGACTGTATTATTCACCGTGTTTCTTCGGTTTGAGTCATTTTTATTTAGAAATAATCAATGTTTTTTTAAGGAGATCGGAGTTAACGTAATCTGTCCTAGGTTTTCTGTTTTTTGAAGATAGGACGACTTTAATATGATTGGTTGTTTAAGTCAATTTGGTTTTACATTATTTATACAGGTTAAAGTACTTTTTCAAAAATATTGAACTACAAAAGAATAAACGAAAAAAAGTATTTTGGGGGTATTATTAGTTGTAGGACACCACTATTGAAAATTATCAAAATCTCTTGTTTTAGAGAAGTTAGCATGGTAATAATCTAGGTTGATCTATTTTTAAAAAGTTGTTATAATACTAGCTCCACTAAAACAAAATCATTTTCAATAGTGGAGTCCTACAACATTAATAATACCTCCAATATACTTTTTTTCATTTATTCTATTTTTTTAAAAAAGTATTTTAAACTGTATAAATAATGTGGAATTAAATTGATTTAAACAACCAATCATATGAAAGTCGCCTTATGCCGAAAATTTTGATCACAGAATCAGTCGTAACGTTATGAGCAGATAGTTGTTCATCAAATTTAATAATTAAGATAAAAATAGATTTTTGAAAACTTTGAATGAGAATTGTTATAAGTTGCTAATATAATATTATATAACAAAACTTGCGTTACGGGTAGAGTATCTACTCAAGAATATAGTCCAATAAATTATCAAAGTTTGATCAAAAATCCCCGAATACTCAACGGTACGGACCGACCCATATGTTCATTACGGTGATTTTACATCCTAGTGAGGCCTGGCATTATTTTTTATGTTAATATAAGTTTAGTTGAGTTATTTCATGAATATTTTATATTTGTAACTCGTATTAGAATATGTTCGAACTATTTTATCTTAATGCTGAAAGCTGCGTTGTCAGATAAGCCATTACAATATGTAAAAGTCTCAGTTGTAATTATCATTTCATTATTTTTTATAGACTATGGACATTGTCATGACTTATTAGGAAGACAAATCTCTCGTGACGTATTACCATCATTAAGTTTGACATGAAATACCTAGAACCCTAGCATCATAACCTAACAATTTCGCTACTAGTGTTATGTTTTATGTTACACCTGATCATACGCACGAATACAATTGAATAGCAATGGAAGAATTGAGATCAGATGATCCTATTATTGATCCTCTTATTGAAATCAGGAATTCATGTTCTTGAAAAAGATGAAGAGTACTTATTTTTATACATTTCCATACTACAGCTTCTTCTCCAATTCAACAGAAATCAATTTACACATCAATTAGTGTTATCAATTGTGTTAATTGCATGCATAGATCAGCAATAGGGACGGTGAAAATTATGAATATTGTTTATACGTACGTAGAATTTGATTGAGTGTTACAGTATAAATAATAATATCGTTTTTTATGATCAGCGTGCCTCGTAGATGTGCTATGGAGCAACTTCTACGTAACGCTGATGAATGAAGACCATATTACTAGAATAAAAAATATATACGTATAATTATGAATGAATGGAATTAATCCAACCATATTCGGTCGTCTATAAAAAAACGAAAACTTTTAAGAACTCCTTATCAGAATTTTGCACAATCAAGTCAATCCAGATCGATTACTTTCTTTAATGGTAAAAGAAACGTGTCATTTGTTGGCCTGTTTAGGGTCCTCCTAAGGGAACTGCACATGATGATGTACAATATCAATCCAGGTTTTTTTACTAAAAAAAAAATATAATAAAAGTTGGTTTTGTTCAATCCTAACATTGTTAACGTCATATGACTATTTTTTTTTTTGTTTCCATAGATAATTAAAATAGTTAAATTACAAAAAGTTGACAGAAATAATAGGTAAACTTTCCTATGTTATGATTGTCCTCCAGGAACAGTCAAGACGCACAGGTTAGAATGTAACCATACACAACAAACGAAAAATCTTTATTCTTGATCCAATTACTAAAATACGCCTGGCATTATATACAGGACAAAAGTTTAAATGTCTAATTTTACCATTTTAATTTATTTCGATATACTGCATTTGGATTTATGCAAATCTCCTCATACAATAGAACAATTTGGACTTTAATTACGTACCTATGCATATACACAAATAAATATTAGACGTAAAGGCGTATTTGGCGTTTCTCTAAATACCTAATAGGCGACGAACATTGAAGAGTTGCAGTAACTACATAAAAGTAGAAATAACATCTGAAATCCTAAAAGAATTTATACGAACGCGTTTAGTCTTTTCTTTTAATAAAAACAAATTCATCGCCTGACCGTGTCTAAAGATCATATTGCACTTCTTTTTTTTTTTTATCTAAAAGGGGGTGAGATTAAACATCAACCAAAGATATGTAATATGTTTCTCGCCTTGATAGCTCTAAATTGAATAACTTCATTTTGAATGAGGCTGCAATTTTTGCATGCAGTTTCACAAAGTAGCGAGCATCTCTAGTATGAATATAATCTTTTGTTTATACAGTTGATTTTTTAAGATGAGTCTAGATTTTTGTCCAACATGGGTTAATAGTTTATGATGCACTGTTTGTTTATCTTTTTACAATCTAAATGAATCATTTTAGAAAATGATTATATTTTGCTTAGTTTGTCTCTTTTCGTGTTGTTAGAGAACTTTTCACCGAACTTTCTTTTCCTTTATATAGTATGAGGTACCAAGATTTTTGGTGTATCTGCATGCATTAGTATTTTATTTAAAATGAATTGTTCCAAAATAAGCGTTTTATAGCAAACAGTGGTCTAGATTTGTCTGTGGCTAATCTTTTTTATAATCCAAATCCGCAATGCGTAACAATAAATTTTGTTAAAAAATGATTCAAAAATAGAGTGTTTGTTGATGGGAATAATTTTTCGGAAAATATCTCTGTTTTATCCCTTAAAAAATTTGAATTTGTCACTCTCTTTAGTTAATATAGCTTTGATCTTGTAGTTTTTCTTTACATCTAGCATATAGCATTTATACTATGAATGTAAGTTTACAATCGTAACCCGAAAACAATCTCTTGCTACATCTCTTAAATGCTTTTGAATCCTTCCATTTGCTAGACTTATTTAAACTTCATGTCCGAAAAAAATTCATCCAAAGAACGCATGGACATAGCTGATGACCATGAACGCATCAAAGAAATTGCTGAACAAGATACAAATCGTGCTCGAATAATAGCATTAGCTGTAAGAGAGGCTTGTTCTATAGCAAATGTAGGACCTGATCGACAAGATTGGGAGTCTGCATGTCGAATAATATTAGAAAATAATCTTCTCACGGCCAAAGAAAAAACTACTATTGTCGCTTTATTAATGTGTAAACCTTTGTGTATGTATAATTAACAAACAATTTAATTTAATTGATTTTATTTTCGTGACGGTCAAAAAATTAATGCTTTATTTTATATTAATTAGAAAATTTTCCGTTAAGAATCATTACTTTAATTTTACCCGAGATATCAACAATTTTTATCGTTTTATTTTTTTTCCGAAAGACACAAATAACATGACTAGCTATTCTTTGTTGGAATAATTAAGACTAGGGAATTAATTTTTTTTTTTTTTTATGACAACCTGATTATTTCTATCTTTTTTAAGAGATTGTTTTAGTCTTCCTTCGGTTTGAATTTTTAAGAATGTTCAATTATGCTTTATTTCTGCTGTTTCCGTTTCACTTTTGTTCGCCCAGATAAGATATCATGTGACAACGAAATACTAAATTGAAAAAAAAAACTTTTTAAGCCAATTAAATCATCGATAATCTAACCTCGGAAAATTCAAGTTGTTTTTTAATTGTTTTCGTGTGACAGTTATAAACTGATAATGCGGTCCAGACCAAATATATATGCGTGTGAAGGAACAGGCCAGTGCTCAGAATCAGATACATGTACGTGCGTGCCACGGGATATCATCCGATTAATACATCAATTTTTATACACTGTTCCAGACCATCACTCAGAATGTGCCTGATCATTGAAAGAAAAAAAAACTTTCACCAAAAAACTGATTGTCCATGCTCGTGATTGACACCTGAATAAGAGTTTAAATTCATGTTTTCACTTGATTTATTTATTATTGTAAAATCCGGAAACGGATATTTTTAGACTTCAAGTTTTACCATTTTTGATGATCGTCAGTACCGTTCCATCGGAGTGAATATTTTGAAAATAATTTTTTGCTTTAATTCGTGCATCGTTCCTGATAAGGCTGCATTTTGTTGATAATTATTGCCCAATTTGGATCAATACCGAATATATTTACAATATCGATATCAAAAAAATTTGTAATAACGATTCGGAAACAACAGTTCTCCCTCAACTGAATTCCTATAATAAATAGTCTTTTATACTGAAATTTTATATGGACGCAAACCTCTTTGGGATTTAGCTGTACGAAACGCGCGTCAATTTAAAATAATCTAAAAAATATAATGCTTTATTAAACTTTTTGGTAAATATATATATATATTTATTATCATATATTGTAAATAATCAATAGGTACGAAATGCCGAATAAACAATAGTTTATTAGGTACAAATGCCGAATTTGCTTCGTAGATTTTGAGCAGATTAAATTACTAATACCCCAGTAAGGCATAGTAATGTTTCTGATGCTAATAAGGCGCAAATGCGTCTTATTAGCATTAGAAACACTACCTTTGTTATAAGGTCATGTGCCTCATCGTTTTATTTAACACTTGTATTAATTGATTTCGTATTACCAATTGTTACAGTCTGACCTCTCTAAATGCATAGCCTCTTTAAATGCAATGGCTCTAACTTATATTATACTTATAGATTTTTAGCAAGATTTTTTATAGGCCCTCAGCTATGCACTTAGTGAGGGTTGAATGGTTGACTGTACTAGGCGTTTTGTACTTTCTAGTTTCATTATAAGGGTTTAACAATTGATTCGAATACACCATATTTCACGAGGTAACACCTTAAAACGTTATTTCAAACTCGGTGTTTTAAAAAGAATAAATTAAGCTATTTTCAAATTCCGTGACAACAATCGCCCGAATCCAATGTCAGGTCGAAATCGATAAACTTATTCTACCCCAAGATATTATTTCACGACATGATACGTAAATATAGATTTCGTTATAAAAATCAAAAATAGTTGATAAAAGCAAAACAAAAATAGCAATATTATTGTCAATATTTTTAGTTGCCGCAATCCTGCTTTCCAATTTTTGAAATATATATCAATAGATGCAATACAGTAATGTATGTTTATTTGCTGAAACTCGGAATTGGGAAATCTAATAAATATATGCATTTTATAGCGATCTACATCAGTTCCACGATATGCAAGGATATTGCATGCTTCTCCGAACAACAAAATTTACTAAAACAAGAAACTGTGTAGTATAGTTATTGCATTTTATATTAAACAACTTTAATATTATTATAAAGAACGCTTTTAAAAATTTTATACTTATATCCAAGAATATATGTTTTAGATCTGTTCGATGTCTATTTGGATATCTGGATAAGTTTTGAGCAGATTTCGGTCTTATTACCAAAAGTTCATTAAATACCTTACTCCGAGTATCTCATAGATGAACGAATACTTAATGGATATTTGATAACTTTTTTTGGCTAGACGAATTGTTCATTCCGATGAAGGTTAAGCCTACAAAAATAACAACCTTTTTTCCTACTATACTTTCTAACTTTAAAAAAAAAACCTATCAATATATAGTACAATCATACCTTTATTTAGCCACAGCTATTGTTGTACATGGGACAACTGGAAAAAATCGGGCTGTTGGGGACATTGAAAAAAACGCCAATATCCCTATCGCTATGATAACCTGCTTTAGTAAAAAAAAAAAAATCTTGTATATTGTATTCTTTTATATTAATAAGCTACATAAAAATTAAACTAGAGATGCTGGTATGTTTCAACATCAATTTAACCAATAGTGGTAAATTATTTCACCACTTTAAGTTTGGTATCTATAATTAAAAAATTTCTGAGTTGGGACATCCAAAATGCACCACACTATGTAATCACACACTCTTTATAAGCATGATTTTCAAATCTATCTATACAAAATACTGTGATTGGGACCTTTTAAAATTGGGTGACCCTATAAATGTCGCATGATAATATGTCACAAAATTGATTAATAATACACGTTATTAAAGATATTGTATTGCCATCATAATGAATAGTTGTGATTTTTTAAATATCATCTGTTTGTTGTAGAGGTATTAATGAGATACCGCATCCTTAGTTTATAGATACATATTGACATATAGGACAGTGTCCAGAACGATGTTTTTTAAAAAAATGTTTTATTTACTAGATGATTTCAAGTTAATGGTTTACAATGGCTCTCAAAAACGAATGCATCACCTGAATAAAAATTTTGAAACGTAAAGTTAAATACGTATCTCGTGATGCTGAAGTCGCTGCAACATAAGAAACCATTATTAGAATCATTAAGTCAATATAGTAAAATATATATAAATTTTTTTATACAATAATAAAAAAATTATTGATTGTTATTTATTATTTTTGAGATTGGCTTATTTAACCATATTCTTATTTCTATTTACTATATAGCAAACTTAATAAAAAACAATCTAAGTACAAAAATATCTAAGAATAGTATATAAAATTTAATTGAAATTTTTTTATGTTCAAGTTTTAAAAAATATTAAGTATCTATTTTTAACTATAAAGTAAAGTTTGTGAAATATGTCTTTCTAATTTTAATTATAGTAAAATTATTAAAATTAGTTAAAAATTAAAATATAAATAAATTTATATAAATTAACTAATTAAATTTTTTAATTTTGTATTAATTAAACAAAATTTTAATAAATTTAAAAGTAAGGTATAATATTTTAAAATTATATATAAACTTAATAGTATATTTTTTTATAATTTAAATTATGAAACATTTATTAATTAAATATTTTTTGAACTTTAAACAAAGTTGTAAAGTAGGTTCTTGTAATTCTAGCAATAGTAAAATTATTAAAATTAGTTTAAAACTTATTAATATATAATATTCAAACATTCCAGACCAAATAGTCACAGACCCAAACCTCATTAAACATCACATACAATCTCATTTTCATAACTGGACAGCTTAT